GAGAGGTGCACGTCAGTGACGGCGATGGCCACGGCGAAGGGCTATGCGTCAGCGCCGTAGCATACGCCGGTGTTTGACGCAGAAGTATAAATCAGGCTTTAGCCTGAAGATCTGATGTTAACCTGATGAACTGTGTGTGAGATCACTCACCTTCTGATGTTCCCCGAAACAAACTACGTGTGGGATCACTCATCCTCAGATGTTTACCTTGTGAACTGTTGAGGAGATCACTAACATCTACAACACACTCTCCTGCTTCATTACTCTGATACAGTAAAGTTGTGTTGAATAAAACCCATAAAAGATAACCTTCCTTGTGTGTAACCGTGACACTGGGCCCATTAGTACTAGTTAAGCACCGTGTCAAGTACTAATTGAGTATTGTTGTGACCATGTCCATCCTTTATGATCACTGTGCATCCATCTTCTGATGGCTACCTTCAGCAGGATAATGCGCCATGTCTTAAAGCGCAAATTATATCAGACTGGTTTCTTGAACATGACAATGAGTTCACTGTACTCAAATGGCCTCCACAGTAACCAGACCTCAATCCTATTGAGCACTTTTCGGATGTTGGTGCTGCGTGTGATGTGAAAAACAGATCTATTAAAAATTAACAATGACTGGCTGATGGCAGAGCAGCATAATGACATCATCTGATTAATATTCAATTATTCATTTGTCAAAACTACATAAAGTTCATAGTAAACAATTTGTTAAATTTGATGTGCAATAACTTTCCACATTTGTTGTGGGCTGCAGGCTTAACACTTTCATGTGTCAAGAGTATTTAGCAATTTATTTAGTTTTACATTTATTTTAAAAGAAGCATTTTGATATTGATAAAGAAGTCTGCAACTTTTGTGAAGCTTCAAATCACCGTCACATTAGCTGTCAAAACACGTGAACGACTGCATAATTATTATTCAGTAAAAAAAGCTGTCGAATTTTGTGCATGCCTATCATCATACATAAAATGTACTAAAGCTGGTATACCTTAAAATAGTGTTCGTTTGAATCTAAATAGTCCATTTGGACTTGGGGAGAAGCACCCCGTGACAGTACATTATAAATAAACAAACAATATAAGACTACATTACAAAAAAAAAAATGAAATCTGAGACTGATTGGGATCAATGCCTTTTATATGTTTATTCATGTTCCATACATTCCAGACACCATCTTATTCAGTACAAAGGATTACACAAACTTTTCATTCATTTTCTTGTCGGCTTAGTCCCTTTATTAATCCGGGGTTGCCACAGTGCAATGAACCGCCAACTTATCCAGCAAGTTTTTACGCATTGGATGCCCTTCCAGCTGCAACCCATCTCTGGGAAAATTACACAGACTTCACTATTCTAAAACAAAGCTTAATAAATTCTATCCCTCGGTTTCCCCCACATGTAACAAGTGTAAAGCAGCTGAGGGCACCTTAGCACATCTTTTTTTTGGTCTTGTGTTCAAATTCAGAATTTTTGGTTAGAAATATTTCAGTTCTTTGCTAAGGTTTATGATTGCGTTTTACTCCCTGACCCAATGATACCAATTTTTGGCTGGTCTCTCAACCGAAATGTACAGTTACCTGTTCAGTATGGCATGATCATAGCTACAAAAAAAAGTTATCCGTTGTTTTTGGAAAAAAAAAATGTTAGGCCTTTTTTTCTGATTAGCTTCTCGGACTCACCTCCACTTTACATTTGGAAAGAATAAGATATACCACCTCTGGGAACTTTGATAAAATGTGGGTTCCAGTCTTTCTCTTTCTACAACACCATAAAGACTAAGGGTGTCATTTAATTTCTAAAGATTTGTAAGTTTTTTTTTTTCTCCACATCTATTGCTGTGTCTTTTTATAGGTCATATATGTTTTGTATGTTGCCATTTTCTCTTGTTTCTTGCTTTATTTTACATTTTGCACAGATTATTGTCTCATGATGGGTTTGTCTGTCTGTTCTTTGTTTTTCTGTCTGAAAAAAAATTAATAAAAAAAATATTCAAAAAAAGAATTTTTTTTTTTTTTTCCAGTATGGGATTAATCTTGTCAAATAAAGCTAGTACATTACTACTATAATAATATATATATTTTTATACGCTTAACACTTGCATGTCAAATCAAAAATATGTCAGTATGTTTATATTTGTTTAATAGGATTTAAAATAAGTGAACAAACAAACTGAATAAATATGACACCGGTGGATCACAATAACCCAAACTGATACATCGTGCTGGATTTTCACCGTTCCACTGAATATTTAAGTGACCTGACTGAGTCATTTTCTGAGGCTGTCCTCTCAGGTCAGGTCCTGAGATAACCCTCCTGGACATACATATATGTATACTTTTAAAACAAACAAACATCTTTTTACCATGGTAAACCCTTTTCATAAATCTTACTCTAATGGTTTCAACTTAATTGTCATTTTATAAATAAGATATAAATGTGTTTACTCAAATATGAACCGTTTAACTCTCTTTTGGTACAAGGGGTCAGCGGAGCCCACGGTGGAGGGCAGGGGTGTGAAGTGACAGTCAGCACATCTGCTCACATTAATAATGCAGAGAGCTTTAAACGGCAGTTTGTCACTTATTGAGTGCTGCCAGCTGTAATCTACACTGACATCCAAGCTGCTGCCAGGGGACTCGACCAGAAGAATCGGATGAAGAGAGCGAGAGAGAGAAAGGATGAGAGGCCACCAGACAGAGAGGACAAACAGCAACATGAAACTTCTGTCTGAGCAACACTTTCACTCCAAATATTTCATTTCTTAAAGAACTGGATGAACGTTATTATCAGAAAACAAAATCAATCAGCCAATAATTGGTTGAAAGACCTCCTGTGATTTCTTTTGCAAATGATGTTTAACAGAGCAAGGAATTTTTCCACAGTATTTTCTATAATATCTTTTTCTTCTGGAGAAAGCCTTATTTGTTTTATTTTGGCTAGAAGAAAGTAGTTTTACATTTTTTAAATCCCTTTTAGGTCAATATTTTTAGCCGCCTTAAGCTTTTTTTTTGTTCAACTGTCAACAGAACAAACTATTACTATACAATTGCCTAATTACCCCAGGGTTTCTACAGGTTTCACCAAGTTAAATTTAAGACTTAAAACATTTTTCAGACCATGAATGAAATTTTAGACTCATCAAGGGGTAAACGCTAAGGAATTTCCCAAATGGCCCAGACCGAAAAGATTTTAATTTGCCCTTTCCGCTTGTTAAGTGGTGACGTGTTGGTGACGTATGAAATACTGTTTCCGGGTCCAAGCCGCCACTCATTTAAGTTGAGAAATCATTTGTTTATGATCACTTTTTATTCATATCACACATTAAAGTTAATTTTTATATAAAGTCATAGTGTACACAAAAATCTCTGGGCTTGCTGCATCACAAATACCAAAATTTTTACTATAAAAAAAAAAATGAATCACTTTCTGGCCATTGGATATTAGGCAAGGACAGATATATTGTGGGGGCAAAGCAGTGGCGCAGTAGGTAGTGCTGTCGCCTCACAGCAAGAAAGTCGCTGGTTCGAGCCTTGTCTCAGTTGGCGTTTCTGTGTGGAGTTTGCATGTTCTCCCTGCCTTCGCGTGGGTTTCCTCCGGGTGCTCCAGTTTCCCCCACAGCCCAAAGACATGCGGTACAGATGAATTGTGTAGGCTAAATTGTCCATAGTGTATGAGTGTGTGTGTTTCCCAGAGATGGGTTGCGGCTGGAAGGGCATCCGCTGCGTAAAAACTTGCTGGATAAGTCGGCGGTTAATTCCGCTGTGGCAACCCCAGATTAATAAAGGGACTAAGCCGACAAGAAAAGGAATGAATATATATTGCAATCATGATTTTCAAAAGTATTAAATTGCTTTGTAAACGCTTATTATTACCATTTTATGAGTCTCCCCATTCAGTTGAACAGAGCGCTTGGACCCGGAGACGCTTTGCTTCACACTTAACAAGCGGATAGTATATTTTTTATAATTTAATACATCAAGATTTCAGATGCAAAAACCTCTATGCATTTTTCTCAGGTGATTGTGTAGGTTCAGTAATTTCAAATTTTTTCAAACACAGAAGGCTAAGGAAAAATGCACATTTAAGAGGAAAATTTCTGATGGTGCTTAAAGGTTTCTGCATCTCAACACATTTAATAATACAATAATAATTTTATAATAACATTTTATTTTTAAATATTTTAGACATTTCTTGGCAAAATATTTTAAACATTGTATAAAAACAAGCAAGCAAAATACACTCTCTTTAAACAACTGATCAAATGTTAATAAACTAAATCTATACACAATCTGTCCAAGTTGGTGTCAGCAGTAAATATATGGAGCACTTTTAAACAAATGTTTTTGTAAGGAAAATAATTAAATCATTATGATAAAACAGAGTTAAAAATGACCCTTTTAAATAAAAAGGTTAAAGTTTGGTATTGAGATTAGGATTGTTGCTGTTGCTGATGTGCAATAATGGCCAGATTGGGAAGCACAACATCAGGGTTTCTGCAGGTTTCTTCAAATCAAGTGCAAGACTTTAAGACTCTTAAGACCATGAGTGAAATTTTAGACTTATACAGGGCTAAATATTAAAGTTTTTTTTCTGATGGGTCGGTTACTTCTATAAATAATTTGTATAATGCTGGAAGATCATGTAAAGGGATTCATACAGTAAAAATGTCAGGCTAAATAAATAATGAAAATGAATCATTGACTTCTGCTGTTTTCATTAGTTTCAAAAGCACAGATTTCTTTACAATTTAAAATGACATCTTTGAATATTTTTCCAGCTGGAGATAATGTTGTCCTAAAAAAAAAAAAAAAAAAAAAAAAAAGGAAATAAACTATTTACTATATTATCCTACATACACCCTAGACACAAATGAAAAGATAATGATGACGGTTTTAATACCTTGACTTTTCCGAACAGCAGTATACCTTGAAAACGGTTATCGTTCCATGCCTACATCCTAGAGTCATACAATAGATTGAATAGATCAAGACTTGAATATCCAAAAATTTATTTAGAAAACAAATCACAAATGACAAAACAATAACAACAACAAAATTAACTCCAACATCTTTATCATTTTGTTGACCAGACAATCTCTCCAGATGATGTTAAACGTTTTCCAGCTAAACATTATTGTTTCAGCTCAAGGCATTCTGTGTATGAAGTAATAATTAATTAGCTGAAAAGCCTAATTAGCACTTTTAACACAGTTGTGTGAGTGAGTGTGTGTCCAGGAGACAGCCTGTACTTGAACAGTCGTGTTACACGTCAGCTTTATTTCCCTGTGATGAGTGGGTTCCTCAGCACCACGATGACCGAGTCGCCTCTCAGGAACATCTTGGAGATGTAGCGATCTTTGTTCACTGGCTTTGACTTCTTCTTGCCTTTGCCGCTCTTGGGCACCTCTGTCCACATTTCTTTCACATTCTCCAGAACCATATTACAATGCCTGAGAACACGAGAGAAAACAGACAACAACTTGACATGCAGCCATGTAGATGACTCACTCCAACTAAAATAATGAGTGGTGCGGACCTGAAATAACACCATCAACATGAGATATGCGCTGGAGGATGAGACTGAAACAAAATTGTTAATAAGATTTCTTTAAGACTTTTGTGAAGTGTTAGAAATGGTGAAGTATTGGGTGGGATTTAAATATATCCCCTTATACCTTAAACTGGACATCTTATGTAAATGCTTATGATGCTTATTAAGAACATGTCAAATGTATTACAATAGAGAGAGCATACTGTGTTATGAAAAAAATTGTTTATATATAGTTTATATACTATATAGTAATAGTTTATATATTATATAGTAACAGTTAATATTATGTTTATATATTATATGTTATATAGTAATAGTTTATACTATATAGTAATAGTTAATATTATGTTTATATATTATCTTATATATTAATAGTTTATATATTATATAGTAACAGTTATTATTATGTTTATATATTATGTTATATAGTAATAGTTTATATATTATATAGTAACAGTTATTATTATGTTTATATATTATATGTTATATAGTAATAGTTTATTTATTATATAGTAACAGTTAATATTATATTTATATATTATATGTTATATAGTAATAGTTTATATATTATATAGTAACAGTTAATATTATGTTTATATATTATATATGTTATATAGTAATAGTTTATTTATTATATAGTAACAGTTAATATAATGTTTATATATTATATATGTTATATAGTAATAGTTTATATACTATATAATAATAGTTAATATTATGTTTATATATTATCTTATATATTAATAGTTTATATATTATATAGTAACAGTTATTATGTTTATATATTATATGTTATATAGTAATAGTTTATATATTATATAGTAACAGTTATTATGTTTATATATTATATGTTATATAGTAATAGTTTATTTATTATATAGTAACAGTTAATATTATATTTATATATTATATGTTATATAGTAATAGTTTATATATTATATAGTAACAGTTAATATTATGTTTATATATTACATATGTTATATAGTAATAGTTTATTTATTATATAGTAACAGTTAATATAATGTTTATATATTATATATGTTATATAGTAATAGTTTATATACTATATAATTATAGTTCATATTATGTTTATATATTATCTTATATAGTAATAGTTTATATATTATATAGTAACAGTTAATTTTATGTTTATATATTATATATGTTATATAGTAATAGTTTATATACTATATAATAATAGTTAATATTATGTTTATATATTATATATGTTATATAGTAATAGTTTATATACTATATAATAATAGTTAATATTATGTTTATATATTATATATGTTATATAGTAATAGTTTATTTATTATATAGTAACAGTTAATATAATGTTTATATATTATATATGTTATATAGTAATAGTTTATATACTATTAAGTAATAGTTAATAATTATGTTTATATTAGACTTGGGCGGTAATACAGTAATATAGTATACCGCAGGATCTAAAAATAGCCACGGTGTCAGTTTCAGTACCGTTATACCGTCATAAAAAACATTGAATTTAAATAGTAGACAAGTATTCAATATTAAATATCCTTTATTTATTGCCTACAAATAAGTATGCGTGATTGTCATCACGGGACAGTGTGGAGGAGAGAGAGGGAGGGAGAGTTGAGGTGGCGAGTCGCGCACTAAGTGACCTGCAGTTTGGCAGTATTTCCGGATTCGACCGAACAAGAAGGAAGACGTGGTAAATATGAACTAGAGGTCTGCATTCCTGCTGCTGTACCGCGGGGGACAACCCGATTTCTTGTTGTGCAGGAATACATTTCCGAATATGCAATCTGCGTGTGTCACTTGGTGCTCTCTCTCGGTGTGTGTTTGTGTGTGTGTGAATGAGAGAGAGAGAGAGAGAGAGAGAGAGAGAGAGAGAGAAAGAGAGTTGCTGGGTGTTGCTTGGTTCTCTCTCTTCTTTTTCTCTCTATCTCTGTGTGTGTGTGTGTGTGTGTGTTTGAAGAAAGAGCGTCCTACGCAGAAGAATACAAACAAGACAAACAGGTGACCGCAAACCTAAGGTCGCATATACGGTATCAGTTTCTGAATGGTTTAGGCACAATTTGGTGACGCTGTCTGAGCCTTACGTCGTAATTTTGTTTATTATGCTTGGTAATACCGGATACCTGGTTAAAATAGGGAGGAGATTTGACGGTATACCGCCGGTTGGATACCGCCCAAGCCTAGTTTATATATTATATATCTTATATATTCATGGTTTATATATTATATAGGAAAAGTTAATAATATGTTTATATATTAAATATCTTATATTAAAAGTTCATATATTATATTGTAATAGTTTATATATTATATAGTAATAGTTTAGATATTATATAGTAATAATTTATATTATGTTTATATATTACATGGTAGTATTGGGAAAATATTCAGCAAAATCATTAAATAATTCAATATAATTTATTTGTAGCAAATAAAATACACATCTTAGCAAATCCTATAGCAAACAGGAGACACAAGCATAGGTTATGTTGACACAAAATGCAACTATTACTCTGCAGATACTTTGTTCAGAAAACTATTGCAACACAGATATTCAAAAGTTTAATCATATCAACACAAGCCTGTGCATGTAAACTAGGGCTGCACAATTTTAGAAAAATTTGATAGTGTGAGATTTTAATTTGCAATAAATGTTGCAATATGGGATACAGTTTTAGAAGAGAATTTAAATAGCACTGTTTGATGGTTTTCAATAGAGTCTAACAGTATTCAGGTACAGAAATTAAATTCACAGAAATTAATCACAATGTAAAAAAAAATAATTTTCTTGCTTTGCTTTGTCTCATTACTAGTGGAAATATCTAAAATTTTTGAATCAAGTAAATATAGTTTTGTTTCACTTTTACTTTGTTATTTTTTTAGCTTTGAAATGTAAACATTTGGACTAGAAACAAGCCAAAAATGATAAGAAATGCTTTATTTGCCTAAATCCTGTATAAATACAGTAATTAAACACAATTCTGTCGCTCTTGGTCAACAAAATTCTTGCATATTTTGAAATGTGACTATTGCAGATGCGAACATTGGGATATTGATGCTGACACGAAATATTGTGCAGCACTAATGTAAACAAAGCCTGCTTGCATTATTTATCACTCAAAATGACACGAGTTACCTGTCGAATGCTTTGACTCTGCCCAGCAGCTTCTTGTTGTTGCGGCAGTTGATGAGGACCTGTGTGTTGTTTTTCACAGACTGGGTGAGCACTGAAAGTGGACCGGTGTTAAACTCTTCCTCCTCTCGCTTCTGGAGCTCCTCTGGAGTCATCTCAGATTTGGGCTTGTTTAATAAACTCCTGATGAGACATTTCAACAGTTAGCATGTCTGCATAAAGGGCTAAAATTTACATCGGCCAAATTACAATTGAGGTGATTTTATATTTGCATATTTGGATTTCCTCTTAATAATAATAATAATAATTTAAGAAAAGCATTATTTCTTAATTCTAAATGGGGAAGTTATATTAGCAGTCAATGAATATCAAAGTACAACATTGTTTACAGACAATAAAATAGTGCTAATGATGTTAAGTCCTACTTGGATGCGATTTCAGACCGAATATTCAAAGTTGAAAGGTAATTAATGTAGAAAACCATGTCACAAGTTGTCACTGAATGAATATGCAAGTATAAAACCCTAGCCATGAGTACTTTAAAAAAATAGCCATGTTAATATAGGCTTACTTTTGCATACTTTTTTTTTTAAAGCAATTTTATCTCTTCATTTACATTTACATTTAGTCATTTAGCAGACGCTTTTATCCAAAGCGACTTACAAATGAGGACAAGGAAGCAATTTACACAACTAAGAGCAACAATGAATAAGTACTAAAGGCAAGTTTCAGGTCTGTAAAGTCTAAGAAGGGAAGTGTTAGTAGTTTTTTTTTTTTTTTTTTTTTGTACAGTTAGTGTGATAAGACAATTGAAGACGCTGCAACTAAACCTATGACCATACACCACTTTCTTAACCCTGTTTATCGTCTGTGGACAGAACCTCGAAAGGCTCTTGGAGATACTGGGGATTGAACCCAGGACCTCATACATGCAAAGCATGCGCTCTACCACTGAGCTACATCCATTCACACTGCAATAGTAACATATTTAAATTGAGGAGAAGTAAAATTTAAATTGACACATTCATTCAGAGACAACATGTGACACAGTCCCTATAATATTTACATTGAGGTAAAGTTGGTTTTATATTCTACATTGGGAAATCATATTAGCAGACAGCCAATGACTATCAAAGTACAACTTTTTCACACACAGTCAATGAAATACTGCTAATGTTGTTTTGAAGTCATATATGCTGTATTAGACAGAATATTCACAGTAGCATGGAAAGGAACCTGAACTAGACGCTAAGGTGGTTCACTAAATGAAACTGCTCCCGGATTATTTAAAGTAATTTTTAAAATGCTATTTTTCTTATGTCAGCGTCAAAGATTCATGTAAACTTTAAATCTTTAAACAGATGCCAGTTAGGTCGCTCCATGCAAATGAACGGAAGTGCGCATCCGCGGAGGTATGACAAACTTCACAGCGTGTGTAAATATCATCCCCGGTGAACACGGTGAAGATGAGCAGCGAGGAGACATCTGATAAACAAGATGAGCAGGAACCACAAAAAACACTCGACTTGAGCAGGATTTTGAGCAGCTCTCTAGCGCATGATCACAGCAGTAAAATTTGTATCCGAGCAAGTCTTTGACAGTGTAATAAGGCTTAACGTTATAGCCTTTCTCTTTCGTGCGTTATGTTATGAATAACTTCACATGAATCTGTGTGCTGAGGATGTATGCATTATTTATGCACTAAAACAGGGGTTAAAGAAAAAAAAAAAATCCTGAGCCTGAACTTTTTTCTTTGGGGGTGGCGGGGCTGGAGAGAAACTGCACAGAAGGACTTCAAATACTGACAATAATAAACAAAATAAAGTAACAAGAGCTTAAAGTGCTTAAAAAAACTGGTAAACTGAGACTGAAACAGACTCTCTCAATGATTATGCTTTGCAGCACTTATTTAAAAGTAGTATTGCCAATTAAAGTGTTTTTTTGTAAACAATAACAAGTGCTTAAACAAGTGCCATTATCACTTCATCTTTCATTTTTTCTGGGTTGTAAGCAAAGTCCTGCAAACTCTTTCTTTTTAAGACATTTGGACGAGAAGATGAAGCTGGTACAGTGAAGGAGGCTGAGGGTTTGCTCTGTCCAATCATGTTTTTTCTTCCGTCAAATAAAAACAGCAGGCTACCTCAAATTGATCTTTCCGCAGGAAATATGCATTTAATCAATGCTCCGCTGTTATTATCATTTCACCAAACCTCTGTCAACATCTTTAATAAATGTCATTGGATTAAAGATTATCTCTTATGATTATGACTTATTTCCTCCATCTCACTTGTTGTTCATGTGTGCGCACGCTCTGTGTGTGATGAAAGAAAATGACAATGAACTTCAAGGCTCATATGTTGACTTTTTGTATAATAATTTTGTTGTTTAAATATGATATTGCCTTAATTTGCGTACATGTTTTATACGCTGTAAAATGAAAGCCTCAGTTTGGTGCGGAGTTATCATTATGCAAAAATCAAGAAGAATTTTAGATGTTCGATTCGTGGATTATGTAGGCTATTTTAAAAACTGATATTACATAAGAACTAATAATAACTGTAATTTTCCAAATGAAAAACGGTTCATTTGTTGGTTGTAGACTACACTAAATCATCAACAGCGTGTTTGTTAATTTTATAACAAGGCTCCATGCAGTACAAAAAAGTCGCAGGTGTTAGTAAACCATTCAACAGATGCCCCTCTCAACGCAAAAAGCTCGTACACTGTGATCGACCCCTGATGCAGCCAACCTTTAAAAATTTATCAAATAATATTTTTTTAATTGTTTAACTGATACCATTAATCGGTTACAAACGCACCCTTTTAGTTAACGGTTAATCGATTATTTTGAGCATCCCTAATTAAACCGCATGCGCAGGCTCTAAAATACATAGAGGTAAAGTTGGTTTTATATTCACACATTCGTTCATTTAGCAGTCCATATATTGTATACCATGTAACTTGAACTGAATATTCGATCGGAATTAGCATGCAAGTGTGACTTGAAAACAACATTAACACTGTTTATTTGACTGTGAACAATGTTGTACTTTGATAGTCATTTGCTGCTATTATGATTTCCCTATTTAGAATTTGCAATGAAAACTTTTCTGAAATCATATTATTAAGGGGAAAGTCCGAATGTGCGAATATAAAACCAACCTTACCTCTATCAAAAATACTATTATTTTTCCTTCACACATGCATGATCCGGCACGGTGCCGGAATACTTTAAGCCCTGCTAAAATATCTGCTATTGCTACATTCTTACTAGAAAGTGCCGTGATCAATGTATTGACTGCATTTATTTAGCAGTAAAATGAGTCTGGGTGCTAATGTTGCATTGTTTGTGTTAATGAATTATTTAGCCTGACATGTTTACTGCTCAGAAAAAAATTATAAATCTTTAAAAAAAAAAAAAAAAAATATATATATATATATATATATATATATATATATATATATATATATATTGTTTTCAAAGGTGAAAAAGTTTTCGTTTTTTTTAGTGATCAGAATACCGTGATACCATGAAGTTTTTAGCCAAGGTTATCATACCATCAGAAACTGATACCGGCGCATGTGTATAAGGAAATGAACAATGTGTTAAATTTTTTAACTCTTTGTGGCCTTTTCCATCTTCACAAATGTAGAGTTATTCTGTGTCTGCCTAATTTTAGAACATTTTGTATTGACTTTAAACTTTACCTTCAAGTTATCAAATCCCTTTTGGTACGCCTAATTAACATTCATAATAGTCTAAGTATAGTTTGAGATATTTATGTTTTAATTCTTTTGAGATTTAACAATTTAACTATATATATATATATATATATATATATATATATATATATATATATATATATATAGTTATAATATATATATAATATATATAGATATATAGTTATAATATTTGTTTTTCTTTCATGTACTGTTTTTTCTATATCCCTTGGATCATTTTTGTTACTAGATGTACAATGAATATATATAATTTGAATTCAGGTCACACAATATTAGCACAAATTATTGTTTTATGTATTCTCTGCTATTTGTGTTAATTAAAAAAGAGCTACAACCATACTGATAAAAGCTAACGCTTATAATTTACACAATGACTGATAATAAGGAGCGCAAACACAAAATCACAACTTACGTTAAATTAAAACGAGACGGAAAAACAGGCAAATTACCAAAACGAAGCTGGCAAAATTAACATATTTCCATATATTCATCGAGGAACACAGTAGAAATCAGCACAATAGATGTTCATTGCGGCTGCTAACATTAGCTTCAGTCTTGCTTAATGAGTTCTACAGTCGATATTAAGGTACAAACTGGGCATTTCAGTCTAAACAGTGCTGCTAAATACTTTATCATAACATATTGTGTGCAGAAAAGTGAACTTACATGTTTTTGTGTGTTTCGGCTTCTCAGCTCTGTTCAATGAAGCTAAATGAAAGCAGCAACACGCAGGCGCTTCACGTTTCCACAACGTTCAAAATCACTTCCGGGTCTTCACCGCCTAAGCAGCACTTATAAGTTCCGTTTCCGGGTTTACAGCTAATGTAAAAATATAAACGTGTTTTTAAGTTTTATATATACTTTCATTTGGTAAACTGACATTAATAATGTAGATGATAAAAATAGTTCATCTTTTTTTTAGATTTCAGCGCAGAAAAAAACTCAAATTCCACCATTAAAACCATTATTTTTATCATTATTTTTTACATCAATATGCTTTTAACGGCATATTGGCCGAAACCTGTTATAATACATGGTTTAAAGTATTAATAAATTCTGAAAAAGGTAAGAGGTGGGTAGATTACTTACAAATTGTAACAATTAGTTTGTTTCTGAATTGCAAGCATAATAAGAATCACATTCAAACTTATGAAGTGTTTATAGCCTACTTTAAATATTTTCTTCAGGGTTTTCAACACTGGGATTTGTAAAGGACCTGCAGGAAGTATGGAGAATTGGTGAAAAACTAGTAAGTAATTACATTTTAAAAAGCCACAAAAAAGTGTGAATATTATATAGGCAAGGCAAGTTTATATAGAGAGGGATTTGTATTTGTTTACATTAATATCATGTGATCAGTAGTCAACATCAACAGCACAACAATAGGATAAAGAAAATTAAAATACAAAGAGAAAACAAATGCAGTGAGGTTTTAAAAAAATAAAATATGAGAGGAAACAAATGCAGATAAAAAGAGACCTTCAATGGATATCGTTGTAAACTATGTTGTTACAATAAAATGTCAAGCATTGTGTTTGAGGAATTTTTTAATGCTTTTGTTCAGTTCTTTAATCTTTCCTATTAGAACTTCTCTAAACCAGACAAGTAAAGTTGATTTGAATAATTTTAAGTACACTGTCTACATCATGAGTACAGTGAACTCATTGTCATGTTCAAGAAACCAGTCTGAGATGATTCGTGCTTCATGACATGGCGTGTTATCCTGCTGGAAGTAACCATCAGGAGATGGGTACACTGTGGTCATAAAGAGATGGACATGGTCAGCAACAATACTCAGGTAGGTTGTGGCATTGACACGATGCTCTGTTAGTACTAATGGGCTCAAAGTGTGCCAAGAAAATATCCCCACACCATTACACCACCACCACCAGCCTGAACTCTTGATACAAGGCAGGATGGATCCATGCTTTCATTTTGATGTTTAATGTCGCACACTTGGCATGTGGTGTAATGGAAAATTTGCATCATGCATGTGCAGCCGACAAATCTGCAGCAACTGCGTGATGCTATCATGTCAATATGGACCAAAATCTCTGAGGAATATTCCCAGTATCTTGTTGAATCTATGCCACAGATTAAGGGAGTTCTGAAGGTAAAAGGGAGTCCAACACCTAATAAGGTGTACCTAATAAAGTGACCGGTTATAGGTATATTAACATAAAGCAATAAGCTATCAAATTCAATGAAGTAATTCAAAATTTGAAATGGAAAGTGACGGTTTGAGACATTTTGACATGTACATTGGATTCCAGAATAAGTGTCTGTGGTAAGGCTACTCTCTGCAGGACATGTGACTGATGAATGCCTGCTGCTCTCTTCCATAACTTTCAAACTGGCACATTTGACATCTAAACAATTTATTATCTTAAAAAGTAATAATGATATGTAACACAACAGCAGTATCTGCCACATTATCTTGAGTTCAGCTTTCTGCCATGACACTTGCAGAGATAAATAAATTCTGTAAGTGGAGTGACACAAAAGTAAAGCAGTTATCGCTAGAATATCACACGGCTCTCAGACTCAAGAACCAGAAATAACTGTTGTATAGATAAATTGATTAACGCAAGGTTTTATTTTCCGTTTTATTTGCTGTCATAAAATGAATCAGTGCTATCAGATGATCGGCCTCAAGTGCTCATGTAGATGTAGAGATAACAGAAGAATGTGTCTGGCCTCTTAGCCGTGGTGTGGGGTAATATTCGCAGGGCAGGGGTCAAGTCTGTAGACCAAACAGACATCTCTTTGTTATGTGTCGTGACTGACAGCGAAGACAGCAGTATGATGGCGAGAGGGACAAAGACGCGTGTCTGTATGGTGCTCAGGCTCCAGAGGATTGGCTTTCTGCTGAGAGACAGGCGGGCGCCCGCGGACCACAATCCCACCCGGGTGATTTCACAGGGTTCTGAGTTTGCCAGGGATAATCGCACGCTATAGTGTGGAGATTGGAGGATCATGTCTGTGGAATTGGTTTACAAAGCTTAACTACAGTTAGGAAATGCACACCGAGTGCGGAGTCTTTCAGGTACATCGGCTTATGTTTTCACCTCTCCAGATCACTTCCTTCCTCTCAGACCGGTTCCTCTCTCGACTTCCACCCTGAGTTTTACAAGCGCTTCTTACAAAACAGAAACAAGAGCATGGAGTCTAATCGTGATCCAAATTTCTCAGTGTGTGGTTCTGCTTAAAATGTCAGACTGTGTGTGGCTTTAATTAAGGGAAATTGTGGTCTAATAAGTCTATCTCACATGGCATCCTCAAATTGGGATTTTAATGTATGTAATTACATTTTAAAATCTATATTTTTTCTAACATTTCTGAAACTCTTTCGAAAGGATAGTTCATCCCAAAAAATGAACATTTACTCTTACCCTTGAGAAGTTCTAAACCTGTTTGAGATGCTTTCTTCTGTTAAACACAAAATAAGATATTTTGAAAAATGAACACTGGACATCCATTGACATCCATTGTAGGAAAGGAAATTAGGTAATGAATACCAGTTTCAGATGTTCTTTAAATATTACAACCCCAAATCAGAAAAACTTGGGACAATATAGAAAAAAGAAAGTCGTGATTTCCAAATTTACTTTGACTTATATTTCATTGCAGACAATATGAACAAAATATTTCATGTTTTGTCTGGTCAACTTCATTTTATTTGTAAATATACGTTTTTTCCTGTCATTCAGACCTGCAACACATTCTAAAAATCTTGGGACAGGAGCAATTTAGGGCTAGTAATCAGGTAAATTGGTTAAATAATTATGTGATTTGAAACAGGTGATGTCAACACGTCCTTTTTCTTGTCACTTCTCACTTTATGTACACTTCAAGCTACTGTAGCCAAAATAAATTCCTTGTAATGCACACTTGGCAATACAACTGTTTGTAATTATGAATTGGTACAAAAGCAGCACCCAAGTAAGGTCTAATCCTTTACGAGCAGAAATAAGCTGAGAATCATTTGTCAACAAATACTTGAGAAAAATTATTAAAATGCAAAATAAAAACAATGTTCCTCAAAGAAATATAGGAAGATATTTGGATATTTCACCTTCAACATCATTAAAAGATTCAAGGAATCTGGAGGAATTTCTGTGCATAAAGGACAAAGGCTCAAGCCTAATCTGAAAATCTGTGATCTCCGATCCCTAAGGTGGCACTTCATAAAGAATTGTCATTCATCTATATGCAATATCACCACATGGGCTCATGAATACTTTGGCAAACCTTTGTCAAGAACCACAATACATAGTTACATCCACAAATGCCAGTTAAAACTGTACTGTGCCAAAAGGAAGACCTATATCAACAGTGTCTGGAAGTACCTTTGACTTCTCTGGGCTTGGAGACATCTGTGATGGACCATCACACAGTGGAAACATGTACTGTAGTCAGATGAATCAGTATTTCAGGTATTTGTTGGGAGAAATGGATGCCATGGGCTCTGGACCAAAGAAGAAAAGGATCATCCAGACTGTTACCGGCATTAAGTATAAAACCAGGGTCTATCAGGTTGTGCCAGTGCCCTTGACAAAGATTAAAAGAGGAAAGAGTATACAGGTACTTGACTGGCCAGCCTGCAGCCCTGACCTGTCTCCTATAAAGGATGTGTTGAGCACTCTGAAGCACAAAATGCAACAACGGAGACGTTATACTGTTGCCCACCTCAAGACTTGTTTGCAGGCGGAATGAGACAAAATTACACCTGAAATACTTCATCACTTGGTGTCCTCAATCCCTAAATGCGTTTTAAGTGTTCAGAAAAGGAATGGCAACATTAATGCTTAACTGTTTACAAACCTTTTTTTAAACGTGTCGCAAGAACCAAAATTGGAATATGTGACATTTTGAAAAAAATAAGGGAATAATTAAAAATCAAGAGGAAAACATTGAATATTGTTTGTTGCATTGTCCTGCAATGAAATACAAGTCAAAATACATTTGGAAATCACTTCTTTCCTTTTTTATTTGCGTTTTCCATACTGTCCCAGCTTTTTATGATTTGGGGTTGTATCTTCTATTGTGTTCAACAGAAGAAAGAAACACAAACAACAAGTGAAGAATGAGTAAATGATGACAGTATTAAAATTGTGGGTGAGCTATTACTTTAGGTATGGGGTATCTGGGGCACCAGCAGGGTTTTATCCCTAGGCACGCACAAATTCAGCAGCGCCCCGCCCCCTTCCCTCAATAATGTCAAGAAACACTGATGCTTACTGTCAAAGACAATATTTAAGGGCATTCATTATGACATTATTCATAATCGTAATATTTTGTTGAAATCTAAATGTAATAAAAGCACATCAGCACTAAGGAAAAATCAGATGATCAAGACGTAATCTTTAAAATTATGACATATTAAAAAATTTGCAAATATATGACAGAAGATTGCGAGACAATACAAACAGTGAAGCATTAATTAAATCCTTACTTTCCATTGACCGAAAATCATCCTCCTGCCCAGTAAAGTGGACAGGCTCAAACAAAAATATAATTCGTAGATTTTTCTTGGAAAAAATACATTTTTCAAATGAATTTCATATATAGTTTGTCTCTTCGTTTAAATATTTTTCTTGGTCAGTTATCTTCTAAATAAAATAGAAAAAACGAATAACATTTGACGTGACGGGCTTCAAAACAAATCCGCTATGCTTCAACAATGTTGAATCATGAACTGGATTGTTAAATAAAATAATAATCTAGCCTAAATAAAATTAAAGTGAAATATTCCA